CGGAGAACACTCCTGAATCTCCAACAAGTCAGGGTTCAGGGGGGGTGAGACTGAAGAGGATATGCAGGCAGCCCCTACCCAAAAGGCTAGACCCGTAGGATTAAAGCAGCCTTCATCCACTGACGTGGATAGCACGACCCCTAGGGGAGAGGAAGCCAAGAAAGCAGCCCGAATGTCGGCAGCCGAAAAGGCCATCACCCCTTGCATGTTCTTCGCGTACAATGCATGTAGGGCTAAATCGTGCGTATTCCTCCACTCTGAAACCAATAGATATCAAGGACCTCCTCCTAGAGCACTTGGTAAAGGTGGCAAAGCCCCTCCCAATGCCTATGCTAGTGTAGCAACCGTGATAATCCCAGAGGTCGCTGTCTCTGACGCGATCAAACCTGTAATCACTGCTATGCCTTCAAAGCTTCCACAGCCATCCCTTGGCTTTGGGACACTGCAGCAGGTCGACACCTCATTGGACGCCAAGCCCTCACACCAGCCATGCGGGAGAATGTACAGCACTCCCCAAACCCCGTAGCTTTCGCTACCGGAGGTGGCAGCCAATCTGGCAAAGAATCCCTAACCTTTAGTGGCAGTAAGATTCTTTCTGATGGTGAAGAGGTCTATGTTCTTGAGGAATGCCCTCCAGCACAGTCGCGCTCTTTGGGAGCGGCGACCCCTCGCGATTGCTTTGGCAACGAACGAATGGATGATGTTGTATGGACACTACTAGGCTCGGTCTGCTGCACAGCTTGATCTGCAGAACGCAAAGTGGGTTGCCAGACGGATGCTGGCGCCTTCTGCTGCTGTGCCTTTGGCGCTGCAGCTTTAGGCGGTTCTTTGGGCTCCGGAGGCTGTACAACTGCCGCGCCACCAGCTGAAGCCGGGGCAGCGGCCCGAGGCTTGGGTCTTGCAGGAGCGTTTGGGCTTACGTACCTATTATGGTAATCCCAGCTTTCTTGAGGAGGGAATTCACTACCCAAAATGTTCAAGTTGATGATACGTTTTGGGGGTAGAGCGCCACTTTCAACTGCGTGACGACCGTGTCCAACACCACGCCTTCTGTCCAGACCGTTTGCAAGGGCCCAGTTTTCGTATTCAGGCCAAAGATTAAATGTTAGAACTAAACACTGGGTTACGGTCAGATAGTCTGCTATGGCTTGATGATTAGCGACTTGCCACTTTGTCAACACCGTCCAAAAGATATCGGCTTAACCAGAAACCACGGCCTGACCTCCCACCTGTATTTTGATACAACCAATCCCTAAAAGTATCTAGGTCACTAAACCAGGCCCGGATGGCTTCCTGGTTTCTAGTTGTCTGCCCACCGCGCGAACTCCTTTGGCGAGTCCGCTGTCTTGTACCTGAAGACGGTGCAGAGGGAGAGTGACCGGTACGAATGGGTTCAACACCAGGCTCAACTAAGTTGGGGCTAGTCGGTGGTGCAACAAAATCAGATGTGTCTAGCTGGGTATTCGTTGTTGTTGCGACAACGGAAGTGTCAACGACCCCAGGCTGTGCGGATGCAGAACTTGGTTCAGAAACTTCTGTGGCTTCTAAGACGGCTGAATCTACACTTATACCTGGGCTATCTGTCGCGACAACGGTTGTGTCTACGACCTCAGGTTTAGCGGATGCACAGGCTGGTTCGGATGCTTCTTGGGATCCTACTGCAACTGGCTCTACGCTATAAGACCTGAGTTTTGGGTCTCAGGTTGGACGGATGCTGCAATTTCGGAAGTGTCGGCTTCAGGACTCTTGGGGTCGACCTCAGCTTTCACAATGGGTGCAACAATTGCGTCTTCACCTAAGTTGGATGTTGCGGTACCTTCCAATTGATCTGCGGCTTCAGAAGCTATCTCAGTAGAGGATGGATGAAGTGGCTGTTGGTCTTCTTCCTGTTTGATGTGTCCCAGACTCATTGGCGCCTTCCAATCCAGAAACTTCGGAAAAAGTTATGTCAGCAGCTACCTCTTCCGTCGCGGCGTTGTCGCCAGCGACCTCCACTGATGAGCTCTCAACTGCAGGCACCCCACTCATTGATCGTGCTTCCTGGAACTCCTCCTTCACTTCAGTTGGCAATCCTTCAGATTGGTCAGCTTCAGCAGGATGCTGGTCACCAGTCGACGGCACGGATGCAAGAATATCCTCAGACAAATCCGCCCAGTTTCGGGAGACCGCGGCGCCTGGTTCAGCAGTCGGTGGATTAAATTCCTCAACACTTTCTGCTTCCCCTAGAACGTTGGTTCCTTCCACTGGCGTATCGGCTGTCGCGCTGTGATCAGCTGCGACCTGCTCGGAAATGCCTGAGGGCATGCAGCAGTGAGCGAAGTGCGAAAAGTACCAGGGGCCTAAACCAGATTATGACCGGATTAGGTTACCCTTAAAAACCGGCTATACGGCTGATAACTAGTGAAAACAGGGGGACGACCAGAACAACCCAAAAGAACAAGGGTGACCTAATCCGCCCATAACCCTGTAAAAACGACCAAGCACCTTTTCTAGCAAAGGCGCTTGAGCCAAGCGTCAACCAGCGGCAAGTTCATGACCCATACCCGGTGGTTGTTGGATATGGAAACTAAACCCTGGAATAAGCTATGGCTACACTACATACCTAACGCTTCTAGGTATGAGGTGCTACTCTATACATTGAGTATTGGGAGTAACTACTTGGAATAAATTGGGACTCATAGCTACGCTATTTACACTACGCTATACCTACCTGCTACGCTACATGTAGTGGGGGCTCAGGGGTCGATATATTTCAACTTAATTACGTGCAAAGCAGTCCAAAAACAATACTGTGGGCCACCTTACTATAGAATTGCCTTACCATCATCAATATACGAATGGTTCTAGCTTTAGGGTGTGTATGTTGTAGCACTTGATGTAAGAAGAGCCACGACACCTTTAGGGTTTGTATGCTGTTAAACTTCATGTAAGCAGAGCCACGACACCTCTATATAGGGTTTGTATGTTGTTGCACTTCATGTAAGAAAAGCCACGGCACCTTTAGGGTTTATTTATATGTTGTTGCACTTAATATAAAAAAAAAGGCGCGACACCTTTAGGGTTTACATGTTGTTGCGCTTGATGTAAGAAGAGCCACGACACCTTTCGGGTTTATATGTTGTTGCACTTAATGTAAGAAGAGCCACGACACCTTTAGGGTTTTTATGTTGTTGCACTTAATGTAAGAAGAGCCACGACACCTTTAGGGCGTGTATGTTGTTGCAATTAATGTAAGAAGAGCCACGGCACCTTTAGGGTTTATATGTTGTCGCACTTAATGTAAGAAGAGCCACGGCACCTTTAGGGTTTGTATGTTGTTACACTTAATGTAAGAAGAGCCACGACACCTTTAGGGTGTGTATGTTGTTGCACTTAATGTAAGAAGAGCCACGGCACTTTTAGGGTTTATATGTTGTCGCACTTAATGTAAGAAGAGCCACGACACCTTTAGGGTTTGTATGTTGTTGCACTTCGTGTAAGAAGAGCCACGACACCTTTAGGTCCTTTAGGTCGCATATCTCCAAAAGCCGCCGAACAGCTGTGGACCAAGACCCCGAGACAGACGTTGTGGGAGCCTGCACAGTCGACATACGCATGTATATATATACAAATAAAATGCCGCCGAACAGATGTGCACCAAGACCACGACACATCCTTTGTGGGCGCCTACACAGTCGACATGCACGCGCACAAGAGCCACTTCATACGGAATTTACAGGTAAAATCCATTAAAACCCCGCCGAGCACATGTGAACTAAGACCCCGACACAGAATTTGTGGGAGGCTGCGCAGTCGACATGCGCACGCACAAGGGCCACTTTTTACAGAAATTTACAGGCGAAAAGCCGCCGAACAGCTGTCGACCAAGACCCCGAGACAGACGTTGCGGGAGCCTGCGCACTCGACATGCACGCGCACAAGAGCCACTTTATACGGAATCTTTACAGGTAAAATGCCGATGACAATAAAAAAACGGCACAAGCGACGCAAAAAAAAACGGCACAAGTGAACGCCTCACCTGTCTTACAAGAGTGTCTCAGAACAGTGTCTTACAAGACCGTGCCGCGCGAGTGTCTTGCCATTGTTCCCAAGTGGCAAAAAAAACTAAGAATGTCTTGCAGGAGTGCCCCACAAGAGTGTCTTTGAGGAGTGTCCCAGCAGAAGAAAGTCTTGTGAGGTTGTCCTGCGAGAGTGTCAGAATGCCTTACAAGCGTGCTTTGCATGTCGGACAGGACTGCGTTTCAGGAGCGTCTCAGTGTGTCTTGCCACAGCGTCCTAGAAGGCTGCCTCTCAAAGCGTGTGTAGAATGCCCCATGGCCCCCATTGCCATAAACATGCTCTTCTTTCAGTCGCGGCTTCCCAGCGTGATGGGTTTTTAGTTAGGCAACATTTCCGTGGGTGTGTCTGAAAATGGGGGACGTCTTCTGAAAATGGGGAACGTCTTCTTCGGGTTTTCATGCATCGAACTTTGAGCCCACAGCCTGCTGTTGTGTGGCAACTTATTTGCCAGGCTGAAGGGTGAAGGCGGGGTGCATGCACCACAATGGCTTGTATTGGGGTGGGACCATTCTCCCCCAAACTCCTTTCAACCTTTCAGCCTCCTTGTTTCGGCTACTCCAAATGTCCAAATTGTGCTCGTTGCTGATAAAAACTGGCGCCATCCACAATTGTTGCATACCTCCTGGAAGTGCAAGCCTACAGTAATCAGTTGACCAAAACAAAGGCCTTTCCAAACAAAGGGCGGTTTAAGAAAACATCTGCCTGCCCAACGCAGCACGGACGCTTGCTGTGTCCCGCAAGTCCATCCAGCACCCTTTCACATACTTGGACTTTGTATCTCACTGCTCTTGCAAAAACAATACCGCGACTATGTCCGCCGAACACCTACCCATGCTTTTTTTTCATGCTGTTCGCAGGTTGCTTGGTTTGGCTGGTGCACAAACTAGAAATTCGCACTAATACTCCATGCGAAAACAAATTCGGTGAGACAATGGGCCGCTTCACCCTCTGCCGCCGAAACGTCGCTTGCCAAATGAAGAACCTCATGTGAATGCTCAAAGCAAGTGGAGGTAAGCGGCCTGGCCTTTGACTTGGAACAAGTGTCGGCATAGAGGCTAGCGAAAGAAAACCAATGTAGGTTAAAAATACTGATTCTTGCTGCAACCTTCGGGGCTCATGACACATCAGATGTGCATGCGCGCTGCGGGTTATTACCTCAAAGTGCCCAACCCATGGGGTCATACTCCACAGCAGCCATTGGAGCTGAAGTTGAGGGAGTCCGCTCCAAATCGCCTCACCGGCGCTTGACTCCCAAGCAGGTTCCTTCCAATATCAAGAACTAAAGGACCGGATAACCCCACATGTCAACTTCTTCCAACAAGTGGCCAAAGAAAAGGAAGGTGAAACTTGGATGGGAAAGGCAGGAAAGAAAAAAGAGATGGTGGAGGATTGGTGTGTGCAAGAAATGCACGTCGAAGTGAGGTGTGTGAAAGGGTTCCGTGTAAAGGTGGGGTATGTAAAAATGGTGTGTGATAGAGTCGTGTGTGAAAGTGCTGTGGGTGAAAGAATGGTGTGGGACAGGAGCGGGTGTAAAAGTATTGTGTCTACAAGTATTGGGTGGGAAAGTGTGTGTCCAAGAACTGTCTGTGAAGGAGTTGTGCGGGAGAGTAGTGTTTGTAAAGGTGTGGTGTGTCAATTTTCACAGGTAGCTGTTTTGCTTGCGGTATAGTTTGCCCTTGTGTTTTATTATTGCGCAAGTTCCAAAACAGAAAGAAACACATGGAACCCAGTTCTTCCAAATTGATGCTGCTGGCCTTTTTTTCCCACTGTGCGCCGTGCACTGTTTTTTGTGCATGCGTGTCCTGTGCTAACATCCTGGCTGGGAAAAGATAGGATTATGGATTCCCTTAAACGATTTTTTTTCAAATAAGACAATTTTAAAATTTCAAAAATAAAGGCTGGGAGAAGATAGGGTTATAGATTCCCTTAAACGAATTTTTTCAAGTAAGAAATTTGAAAATTAAAAAAACAAACTAGATGTTTTTTTTAATGAATCTCTTAAACAATCTTAAACATTTTTTCTCAAATAAACAAATTTGAAACTTCAAAAAAGGCTAGGAGAAGATTGGACTTTGGATTCCCTTATTATGCCCCTATTTGTTTTTTTTTCAAATAGGAACTTCGAAAAAAAACGATGATTTTATAAAAATCGCTGATACGATTTTTTTATCAAATAAGCAAATTTGAAAATTCAAAAAAGGTTAGGAAAAGATAGGATTATGGATTCCCTTAGACGTAGTTTTTTTTCAAATAAGAAAATTTTAAAATTCAAAAAAAGGCTGGGTGAAGATAGGATTATGGATTCCCTCAACCGATTTTTTTTACCTAAGAATTTTTTAGAATTCATAAAAAACTGGGAGAAGATAGGATTATGGATTCCCTTATTTGTTTTTTTATCAAATAAAAAATGTTTTTGATTTTTAAAGACTATGGTTTTATATGAATCTCTTAAACGATTTTTTCTCAAATAAAAAAATTTGAAAATTCAAAAACGGCTAGGACAAAATAAGATTATGGATTCCCTTAAACTTCTGTTTTCAAATAAGAAAATTTTAAAATTCAAAAAAGGCTGGGGGAAGATAGGATTATGGATTCCCTTAAACGATTTTTTTTTTACCTAAGAAAAATTTAAAATTCAAAAAAGGCTGGGAGAAGATAGGATTATGGATTCCCTTATTTGTTTTTTTTCAAATAAAAAAATTAAAGACTATGGTTTTATATGAATCTCTTAAACGATTTTTTCTCAAATAAGAAAATTTGAAAATTCAAAAAAGGCTAGGAGAAGATAGGATTGTAGATTCCCTTAAACTATTTTTTTTCAAATAAGAACATTTTAACATTTAAAAAAGGCTGGGAGAAGATAGGATTATGGATTTCCTTAAACGTTCTTTTTTTCAAATCAGAAAATTTAAAAATTCAAAAAAGGCTGGGAGAAGATTGCCTTATTTGTTATCAAACAAATACCAAATCAAAAAAAAGAAAAATGATCCAAAAAAACTGCATGCAGAATAGAGTCAGAAAAATGGATATTGTTTTTGTTTATATATTTAAACTAAATTAAATAATAAAAAAAGGAAAATTCCAAAAAAATGTAACCAAAACATGAAAACAATAAAAAAAACAATAGAAACCAGTTTGGAAGCAAATTTGACGAAAGAACCATTGTCAGCCTTGTTTTTTTGCAGTTGATTGAAGTTGATTGTGTTTCTTTGACCAGAACTTAAAACACAAGCAAAAAACTTATTTGATTTTTTTTTTGTGGTTTGTGTCGCCTGGATTTTTTTTAATTTGTGTTTTTGATAAAAAACAAATTTTGGTGGACAGACATTGATTATAATTCCCGAGAGCGTCTGAGCGCAGGGTTCTTCCAATAGTGGAGGTCTGTATCTCATCTTCTCATCTTCACACCTTCTCATCTTCTCTCACACCTTCTCCTATTTACATCTTCTCTCACACCTTCTCATCTTCACACCTTCTCATCTTCACATCTTCTCTCACACCTTCTCATCTTCAGTTCTTCTCTCACACCTTCTCATCTTCACACCTTCTCATCTTCACATCTTCTCTCACACCTTCTCATCTTCACATCTTCTCTCACACCTTCTCATCTTCACATCTTCTCTCACACCTTCTCATCTTCACATCTTCTCTCCCCCCTTCTCATCTTCACATCTTCTCTCACACCTTCTCATCTTCACATCTTCTCTCACACCTTCTCATCTTCACATCTTCTCTCACACCTTCTCATCTTCACACCTTTCTCATCTTCACATCTTCTCTCACACCTTCTCATCTTCACATCTTCTCTCCCACCTTCTCATCTTCACATCTTCTCTCACACCTTCTCATCTTCACATCTGCTC